CAATGGAGGACCTCCTTGTGGCAATACCAGAGGCACTCCAAGTGGCCAGATACTGGTCAAATGACATTTAATCAACTACCAATCTTGCAAATTCTGTGTTTTGTCTGTTTGTTTGTTTTTGTTAAAAATGTAATACAAATGTCTGGTTGCTGATGACACAATAAATAAATACTGTGTATTGAAGTGCTTTTTTGGTCGATTTGTTGTAAAACTTGATATTTTGGTGCATAATGTGTAAAATCATAACATAATAGCCTTTTTCTTAATCCCTCCTTATTATCCAACATTATCACTTTTCCAACGTTCTGCTGGCCTGTTTATGTTGGAGAAGTGATACTCTGCTGTACCGTGATTGCATAGCATTGAGTCATGGTGGTAGCTAGTGTTGTTAAACTGCATTAATTTGACAGTGTAGATACACCCAAGTGGAATGGAGAAAATGAGAACATGGTATGTGGGAGGAATGGGTAACTTGTGGCCTGGTCAATGCAACCGAAATGCACCTTCCATCATCCCTCAACATCGGCTAATACTGAAAGGATTTACAGCTTGAGCATGATATGTGAAAGCCTAATTCCTTTGGGGACGATACTATCCAAATGATGAAGTGAATCTACTCTGGCTAAACATGCCCAGCTCTTTAGTGTGAACTTGGAAGAGGTATTTAAAGTGCTGATCCTCCTCTCCCAATTTGGTTCAGCCCATTGGACAGATGCTCCAATGGCTTGAAAAAAGGCATTGCAACAATTTGCAGGCTACAGACGTGACATCCATTTGACATTCCATATTTGCTTATTTCCCTCTAGGAGCCCCCAGTGGCATAGTGGGTTAAACGCCTGTGCTGGCAGGACTGAAGACCAACAGGTCGCAGGTTCGAATCCGGGGAGAGCACGGATGAGCTCCCTCTATCAGCTCCAGCTCCTTATGTGGGGACACGAGAGAAGCCTCCCACAAGGATGAAAAAACATCAAAACATCCAGGTGTCCCCTTGCAGATGTCCTTGCAGATGGCCAATTCTCTCACACCAGAAACGACTTGCAGTTTCTCAAGTCGCTCCTGACACGACAAAAAAGAAAAGAAAAGAAAAGAAATTCCCCCCAGATTTTTTCCTGGATTTAAGTCTTCTCTCTAGGAATTTCTAGGCTCTCCAATGTAATTCTATGGCCAACATCTATTAGAACAATGTTTCTCAAACCGGGGGTCAGAACCCCTGGGGGGTCATGAGGGTGTGAAAGGGGTCACTAAAGACCATCAGAAAACACAGTATTTTCTGTTGGTCATGCGGTTCTGCGTGGGAAGTTTGCCCAATTCTATCATTGGTGGGGTTCATAATGCTCTTTCATTGTAGGTGAACTATAAATCTCAGCAATGACAAATCCCAAATGTCAAGGTCTGTTTTCCTCAAACTCTACCAGTGTTCACATTTGGGCATATTGCGTATTCGTGCCAAGTTTAGTCCAGATCCATCATTGCTCTCTGGATGTAGGTGAACTTCAACAGTGCTCTCTGGATGTAGGTAAACTACTACTCGAAAACTCAAAGTGAATGCCCACCAAATCCTTCCAGGATATTCTGTTGGTCATGAAAGTTATGTGTGCCAAATTTGGTTCAATTCCATCATTGGTGGAGTTCAGAATACTCTTTGAATGTAGGTGAACTATAAATCCAAGCAACTACAACTCACAAATGATAAAATCAACCCCACCAGGATTCAAATTTGGGTGCATTGGGTATTTGTGCCAAATTTGGTCCAGTGAATGAAAATACATTCTGCATATCAGATATTTACATTACAAATCACAACAGTAGTAAAATTATAGTTATGAAGTAGCAATGAAATTATTTTATGGTTGGGGGTCACCACAACATGAGGAACTGTATTAAGGTGTAGTGGCATTAGAAAGGTTGAGAAACACTGTAGTAAAGGTTGATCATAGAATCATGCTGGACGGGCTAATTTATCCTAGAGAACACTTCCTTAGGAACCCCTCGGTCCTCCAGTACAATGTGGTGGAAGCCGACTATAGAATCATGCTGGAGAAACTATTCATACCCATAAGCCTAGTGAATGCAAAGGGGTAGTGGTAGGTGGCACATTATTGCCAGTGCAGGTCTTATGGAACTTTTAAGCTTTCACACAAACTGGGAGAAGCGTTTGTTTCCAGCTAGGGAGATAGCTAAATATGAGCAAATATGAAGTTTTCCTATGTGAGTGGAGAACATGAACATGGCATCTAATGGAATGGGTAACAGATAGACCATCAGATGTGGCTGAAATGTAGTTCCCATCATCCATCACAGTACATGTAGTTCCCACCAAATGGGCATCATACAGGGAGCATACCACCCCTCTGTTATGTCAGCTCCACTGGCTGCCGATCCAGTTCCGAGCACAATTCAAAGTGCTGGTCTTGACCTACAAAACCCTATACGGCTCCGGCCCAGCGTAACTGTCTGAACGCATCTCCCTTTACGTCCCACCTCGGAGTTTGAGATCTGGGGAGGCCCTGCTCTCGACCCCACCTCTATCACAAGTGAGATTGGTGGGGACGAGGTGCAGGGCCTTCTCGGTGGTGGCCCCTCACCTGTGGAATTCACTCCCTGGAGAAATTAGGTCATCGACATCCCTCCTTTCAGAAGGAAATTAAAAACATGGTTGTGGGACCAGGCTTTCGGGCAATCTGGCGGTTAGATAAAGACAATGACGACCAGAATCGATAGTACTTGACAATGTGGAACGAATTTACGGGCTCTGAGATGGCGAACGCTGAGCATTAGATTGTTTTTATTGATTTTGATGTATATACTGACTGTCTTAATTGTTATAATTGCTGTTTACATGTTTTATCCATTGTTATGTTTATGCTGGCATCGAATTGTGCCTTTGTAAGCCGCCCTGAGTCTCCCCTCGGGGGTTGAGAAGGGCGGGGTAGAAATATGCGAAATAAATAAATAAATAAATAAATGTCCTAACTTGGACCCAGAAGCGCCCCATATTCCACAAGTCCAGTGCCTCCTCTCCTTGATCAGCTTGACCTGCCTTATTCCTCAACTGTTTTTGTTTTCCATCTCCTCCAAATCCAAGTTCTTTGTCAAGACGAGGAGAAAGTGAGGTTGCTTTTGACATCCGCCTGTAGGGAAGTGACAAATAAACAACCTGCAGCTGTCAAGCCGAGATGTAAACCGTCACAACTTCTTGGAAACACACATGTGGGAGCCGTTTGCTCGGTTGCAAATGCAGCTGATTTTATGCTAAACACCCCGCTACAAGGAAAGCCAACCGCTCAACGGCACTGGAGCTGTGCACCGTGCCTAATGAGGGAGCCGCTCGTTAAGAGCAAAAAGGGTAATTAGCGGTCCAATTTCCTTCCGAAGCTAAAAGTTAATCTCATCATTTGCATGGTGGGTTCCTCCTCCGCCCTCTCTTCCCCCAGTTTGTTTGTTTGTGCAATAGAAATCACAGCAAGTTTCCTGCTGTTTCCATAGCAGTCAAATTTCCCATCCAGAAGGCATCAGCTCAGCCTCGGAGGTGTTCACCACCTCTCTAAACAAACAAACAACCAAACAACAAACAAACCCTCCCAAATCTTGATGCTTAGAATTCAGATATACAAGGATCTCGATGGAAGAAGCCAATGACAATGTGAAAATATCATTTGAGGTGAGCCCTGTCCTCACTTGGAGATGAAATAGTCAGGTGGGACTTATGTCCTCGCCAAACATCATGTGTTGGAAATAAATGGTCCAGATGGATAAAGCCATGGCATGTGATTCCAAGGATCACATTTTGCAACCAACATTTCTTATGTTGGAGGCTCACTGGGCAAAAAGAATCTTTCTCCTTGTTTCCATCCATGCAGGAATCCTTGGGCATCACTGATGCCAGGAAATGGCAACCTTTGACCCCACAGACGTTCTAGCTATGGCTACCAAACTCTTTGTTTTTCATGCAACCCTGCCTACTCCTCACTTGGTCTGTGAACCTTCAATGCAAGAGGTGCATTCTCAGAAAGCCAAGAACCAGACATGTTAAGGCAGTGGTTCTCAACCTTTCTAATGCTGCGACCCCTAAAATTCCTAAGGTTGTGGTTAGACCCAACCATAATATTATTTTTGTTGCTACTTCATAAGTATAATTTTGCTGTTATGAATTGTAATGTAATTATCTGATATGCAGGACCAAATTTGATACAAATACCCAATACACTCAAATTGGAATACTGGTGGGGTTGGTTTTGTCATTTGGGAGTTGTAGTTGCTGGGATTTATAGTTCACCTACAAGCATTGTGAATTCCACCAACGATGGAAATGAACCAAACTTGGCACACAGGACTCCCATGACCAACAGAAAATACTGGAATGGTTTGGTGAGCATTGACTTTGAGTTTTGGAGTTGTAGTTTACCTACATCCAGAGAGCACTGTGGACTCAAACAATGGAGGATCTGAACCAAACTTGGCATGAATACTCAATATGCCCAAATGTGAACACTGGTGGAGTGTGGGGCAAATAGACCTTAACTTCTGGGAATTGTAGTTGCTGGGATTTATAGTTCACTTACAATGAAAGAGTATTCTGAAACCCACCAACAATAGAATTGGGCCAAACTTCCCACACAGAACCCCCATGCCTTGAAGGAACTCACTGCCACAAACCTCCCTCCAGCCTTGCACCCTCTCCCTCGCCCGTACATGAACACCATGCTGCCATGAGCTGAGCACGCCTGCACGAGTCTCAGAAACAGTCCTCCCCTTGGTTGAGAGACCAGCCAATCACAACAGAGGAGAGCTTTTGGTGGGAGGATTTGCTGTCTGTTCCCAAAAAGGAAGAGAAGGACAGGTGGAGAGCCTCCTCTGCTAAAGGGGTTCCTAAGACCATCAGAAATATGTTTTCTGATGGTTTTGGTGACCCTTCTGAAACCCTCTCATGACCCCCCCAGGGGTCCCAACCCTCAGGTTGAGAAACACTGTGTTAAGACAAGGAGAAAGGGATGGTGAGGTCCTGTACTGCAGGATGTTTAATAAACTTTTCCATGTTTTTAATGATAGAACCAATTAGGAAATGACATTATAACCCAGTATATGTGTTATCACATACATAACAAAGAGGAAAAAAACAATTCTCAGTTCTTTGGGTCCTTTATTGAAGCATTTTACCTAGGTGTGTGTGTTGATACTGGCACATCAGCACTCAAGACTTTGGCCCCTACAAAACTCACAAGCAAAATGTTGACAATTGGAAAGAAAAAGCAGCTAAAGTAGCCATTGGCAAAAGGTCTTGGCTCATGTTCTTCTCATCGAATGGCAAAGAAGAGGGAGCTGAACTTGGAATGGATGTCCAGACTCATGACTCATGGCAAACTGAAGCTGGAAAACTCAGGAGCAAGAAGCGTCTTCCAATTATATGGCAACCATCCCCAAAGCTAAAGCATAACCCTAAAATGTAGGATGGAGATACTTCTTACTGAGAGGCAATGGAAGAAACTCCTGAATGGAAAGAGTTGTGATGGTTATTGTCCAAGGCCATGACATTCATCAGTTGGCTTAGTATTTGTTGCCTGCCCTTGAACAGCGAATGGATTTTTTGGAATCAATCATACAAAGAACCCATCTCAAGGTATCCACCATTCATAAAATCATTTTCCTTCATAGTACAGATGTCCTCTAAGGTTTCTCTTCAGTGGCTCTTTCTTCTGGCTATTTTCTTGCAAAGTCTCCATCAGGACCAACATCGCTTGCTCTTGTTCTCCCAGAAAGGAAGACCTCACAGTATGCGAGTGGCTGACATCATGAGGAAGTCCTCATAGTTGAGCCGAGCGCTGCCTGTCATGCTGGTATCCTTCTCCCGGAAAGCTTCGGTCATTGACTGGAGCAGTGTGCAGATCTGGATGAAGCGGTCCAGCTGGATGCCGGGGTTGTTGGCCTTTGGAGAATAACGGGAGATGAGCAGCTGGGAAAACTGGGGGCTCAGGTTGTACCCCATTTGGGACAGAGCTGGTGGAAAGGCAACATAGAGAGAAGATAAAAAGGAAAAGGAGAGTCACATAAACATGAGTGAAAACTATTTATGGTCTATGTGCTCACCCAAATGTGATACCAATACAACCAGAGCTGGGGGTTCAAACACTTCAGAGACACATAATTACACATTTCCATGTACCTGCATTCCCCCTTCCACAATTCCTGTTGCAGAATTTTTCTCAGGAGAGGTCTGAGATAGTCACCACTGTGTAAAAATCACACTCCCATTTTTTTGGGAAGGCAAAATTGGTATTTTTGTTTTCCTCACATAATAGTCGCAGGAACATTTGGGGCTGATTCCCCTTTCCTTTCTCTGAAGGCAAGGCAGTTTTAAAGCTATGAAACTAACGTATCTGGTGCTCCGTTCTTCCCTTTTTCCAAAGAGATTAATTTCCGATCTTGTAAACTACCTTGCATTTGGAGAAAAAAAGGAGGAAAGGGGAATCTTTCCTCCTCCTTCCTCCTAGGCAAGGCAATTTAAATAATAAACAGAAATTGAGATATTTGTTTGAGGCTGGATCATTCCTCCGCCTGTCATGGAGGTAAAGCAGTTCATATTTTTTGAAAAACAGAAACTGAAGAATCAAAGGCAGATTTTTTTTCATTGCATAATAGTCACACCCCACTTTTTCTATAAAAATGGATAAAATGTGACTATTATACAATGAAATATGTTATTAATCATTTTAACCATTCCCCAAGCTGAGACCACTCCTAGAACAGTCTCCACATTCAGCCATCAAGCCCAAAGAATCTACATTCTTTCACCTTTTCATTGGTTTACTTTTATCAATATTGTTCATTACTTTTGTTGATTTAATTTAAATTGGTTATTTGTTGTATTATTGTTTGCTGTTTTATTATTCACAGTGCGGTAAGCTACTCCGAGTCTCCTTTGGGAGATGGGGCAGGATATAAATAAAGTTGATGATGATGATGATGATTATTTCCAAGTTGTAGTCCCTTCAGTTCTATAACTCAAGTATTCTAAGGAAGTGGCCTTTTGGTTTGTCTCACTGGTTCATAAGTTCAAACTAAGGTTACTGGCAGGAACTCTCCAAGTCCAGGCAGGTTCTTTCTCTGCCCTATCTAGGCCTTTCACACATTACAGTCTTTCCTCATGGGGCCACATGACTACCCCAAGATATGGTTTGGCAATCCCAGGAGTATGAAATCCGCTCACTCACTCCCCTGACACTCAAGCAAGAGACTGACAAGAAGTAGGCCAGTTTGGTATGAATCTACATAACTTCATGTTTCCTCCTCGCTCTCCCCCCCCTGTCTCTGTGGGGGGGGGGCAGCAGCAGCACCCCTTCCCCTCCGCCTTCTTGGTCTGGCCTGGGAGGGTCCGCCATGTCTGGGCGCGCTAGGGACAGAGCCCGGGGCCTCTACCTGCTCTCCCCGCAGCAGGACCCGGGCGCCGCTCCCGCCATGATCCTGCTCCCTGGAAGGGGTTCTGGAGCCCCCCATCCTGGGGAGCAGCAGCAACCGCAACAACCTCATCCTCACCCGTGGGCAGAAGAGCCGCCTCTCCTTCTCCCAGGTCGCGGGCTCCAGTGAGGAGGAGGGCTCCCCACCCAGGAACTGGAGATCTCAGCAAGGTTTCAGGAAATAAAGCTGGGGGAGAGAGGCGGCTATCAAAGGAATTACAACGACGTCGGCATCTACACCCGCCAGTCGATCGAGCACATAACTTCACGTTGTCCTCTGGGTTCCAATTCACTAATTTTTATCTCATCCTTCTCCTAACGCTTTATGGGAGCGATTCCAAAACTTTGACCCTTCAAAAGGGGACCAACGAGCTCTAGCTAATTTGACTAACATAAAAATTTGGGAACCATTGCATTAAGGGAGTCAATCAAGTCCCATAACAGTTGATGGATGTTTGGATAACGCTGATGTACAAATTTAAGATTGGCAAAATCAAAGCTCGGAAAGATGAAATTTTGGGTTTCTACCAACCACAGATGGAACAAGAAAATAGTCAGGATTATTTTGGAGTTGCCTCTTGGCCTGAAAACCATCATCTGAAGAATTTGTTGCTTAGTCTGTTCACTTGAAGGACCGAAGACCCCTCTCTCCCTCTGCTGTTGTCTCACCTTGATGCAACTCATTGTAATTAATGCATCCAGACCGGTCGCGGTCATACTGCTGGAAAAGATTCCGCCATTGCTGGATGAAGCGCCATAGGGCCGAAAAGCCATAGAGATCTATGCGCCCAGACTTGGTTTTATCAAACATATCTGCCAAGAAAAGGAAGGAAAGAGAAGGTCAGGAAGAGGCTGAGAATGGAAGTCATCCGCTGGCTTATTAGGGTTGGAAGGTTTGGGAGAGTTTCAAAATCCATTTGGCCAATGGAGGAGCCAAAAAGTGCTACACCAAAGGTTTTAAAAATACCTTTCGATACTCTCAAACATGGAAGTCTGTGTCTCCAGCCCAGGAAGTTCTTCTTCATTGCATATTTTCATGCCACATTCTGACAGCAATAACATGTTGCAAAGATGTCCTTGGGGGCCATTTTGCAGTTGGCAAATCCTCCCCAAGGAGCCATGCCACAACTTAACAGCAGAACATGACTTTTTAGACTGAAATATTGTTAGAGCATTAAAAAAATAATCTTGCATTGACTGTTTCTGTCTTGTGCGACCAGCTGCAGAGACAGAAGACAAAGCAGTGAGCATCTCCCCCATTCTGTTTTTATGGGAAGGGAAAATGCGATATACAGTCCCGTTCGAGGAAGGCAAGCGTGACAGCACATGAGCCTCAGCCACAAATAGACTGCAATAATCACCCTGAGCATTTAGTCAGCTCTTTTCAAATTGTTCAATGCGCTGTGCATAGATTACGGGGCAGTCCTCCCAAGGGGGTCAGCATTGTTTCTACGTAATAAATCTGGGGGAAGAATGGAGAGGACAGAAAAAGCAGCCATTTGCTCAAAGCTATCCTGTGCATTCAAAACCAAAATGGAATTTCAATTATGGGCTTTCAAGTGTACTCTGTTTAGGCACATCTACACGGCAGAATAAACAGTCCATCCCCATTTATTTATTTAACTAATTATTATAAATCCCAGATCAATACATGCCCCCACCCCCAATGTCATTCATACAGTATCATAAAAATATAACTCTGTCAGCTCTATTACATCTACCGCATATACTTGAGTATAAGCAAAATTTTCAGCCCTTTCTTTAAGCTGAAAAGGTTCCCCTCAGATTATACTCGAGTCATTTATTATTTTGGTAGGTAAAGGTTTTCCTCTGAAATTAAGTCCAGTCCTATCCAACTCTGGAGGTTGGTGCTCATCTCCATTTCCAAGCCAAAGAGCCGGTGTTGTCCATAGACGCCTCCTAGGTCAGGTGGCCAGCATGGAGCAGTACCTATTGCTCTACTCACATTTTGCATGTTTTCAAAGTGCTAGGTTGGCAGAAGCTGGGGCTAACAGCGGGAGCTCACACCGCTCCCCGGATTCAAACCTGTGATCTTTCAGTCAGCAAGTTCAGCAGCTCAGCACTTTAAGCCACTGCACCACTGGGAGCTCCTATTTATTACTGTACTCTGTTATTATTTGATTACATTTATTATTTTACTCTATTTATGATTATTGCTACGTTTATTATTTTTACTCTTTTTATTACTGTTATAATTAAATAAGGTAAAGCTTTCCCCTTGACATTAAGTCTAGTCAAATCTGACTGGGGGTTGGTGCTCGTATCCATTTCTAAGCCAAAGAGCTGGATTTCTCTGTAGACGCCTCCAAGGTTATGTGGCCATTGTGACAGCATGGAGTGCTGTTACCTTCCTGCTGAAGTGATACCTATTGATCTACTCACATTTGCATGTTTTTGAACTGCTAGGTTGGCAGAAGCTGGGGCTAGCAGCGGGAGCTCACTCCGTTCCCCGGATTTGACCCGCCTACCTTTCGGTCAGCAAGTTCAGCAGCTCAGCAATTTAACTCACTGTGCCACCTGGGGCTCCTATTGTTATAATTACATTTATTATTTTACTCTATTTGTTATTGATATAACATTTTTTATTTTACTCTACTTACAATAGGAACCTACAATAGGAATGGGAATTGTAAGGGCCACATCAGATCCTGGTGGAAGGTCCATTCCCGAGGCACCAAATAATGTAGCAAAAACCCCCTCCTGCTTTTTTGACATAAAAATAGGCTTGGCCACTCTGGCATACTTAAAAACACTCTTTTTAAACTTTTCTGTCCTTAAAGAACAATCACAATCCCCCAAAACAGAACCAAATGGAGACCAATGGGAGTAATGCAATGCCACTTCAAGCCGTCTAACAAACATTATACTGACAGCCCAATGTATTGCACATTACAGAAGTCCAACCGTGATGTCTCCAGTGCATGTGTTACTATCTTAAGACCTGAATCCTCTCATTGTGAACTCACTCATCATCATCAAGCAAGTTTCCTCGTTGAAAGCGGACCAGTTGGAGTTGACAAGGGCCTGCCGGAGCTCTTTGGCTGAGATGTAACCGCTGTGGTCTGTGTCCACGCTCTGGAACCAAGCGAAGGCTTCGGGGTCCACACCAGGGGGTGCGTTCCCTGCAAGGGGAGACAGCAAACCATGTGTTGTCCCTCTGCTGCCATCATCATCATTACCACCATCACTATTATTCTCATCCTCTCCATTTATACCACACCTTTCTCCATAATTGTGACAAATCAAACAAACCCAATACAAAGAAAACATACCAAAAGAGATAGAGAGCAACCTTAAGCTATCCATAACATCAAATGCAATTAAATATACCCCAAAGTGTTTTGAAGATAGCAAAAGGTGTTGCAAAGGTGGTGTTGTGTTGTTTCAGCAAGAATCAAGTGTTTGCCTGTTACAGGAGACAGATGCACAGTCATAAAGTTTTATGTCCTGCACTCAGGACGGCAGGTTCAGCGCTCCTCGGATACCACCTTGGAACCTTAAATAACGCAAGAGGGATGGCGTCCAGAACGTCACTCTTAATGGAGATGAATAATTCAATTAGCAATCTCCTTGCCAACCCTCCTGTAGGTGTCAAGGACTCCAGATGCAGGCAGAGAGGCCCTTTAAGTGATGAATGCCCAAGACTGATGACTTGGGTCCAGGAAGCCGATTACAGGTAGCACAGAATGAGCATTGGGAACTCTGGCAAAACCCAGTCTTTCTGGAGATGAAATGCCTCTAAGAGAGAGGATGACTGCAAAATGCAACCAAGTTTCTCAAGGTTCCAAAATGCAGCCCCACAAACCATTACTAGCCTCCAAGGTCTACTGACATACACATACATATGTCTAACTCACACCAAGATGTCTCTTTTGTTTACTTTTTGTGATTGGTGTTCCCTTTGTTCTTCTGCAATGACCAATGTCCATCTTGGACTTACTGTTTAGCCATTTAAATCCTCACCAATACTGTTTGGTATCCAATGGAGAAACGTGTCCCTAGAGTCAGATGCAGGCTGAAGACATCACCAGCTGAGATCCACTGCGGGTCTTCAGAAGATGTTGATGGATGATCCAATCTGCTGTCTGACTACAATATATAGCCAAATATATCTCTGGTCCCTCCACTCTCCACAAGCCACTAAATGGTTGAAATTGCTAAGCAATACATTTGGTGGTTGGGGAGAAATATAGTATAACTCCACTTCTGGAACTATTACATTCTGCCATGTAGGATCTCAGCTAAAGGGTTACTTGCTCATCATATATATATAGCGGAGGATACGTTCGGACAGGTAAATTGGGCCGGAGTCATTTAGGGCTTATTGTTAGTGTGTGTGTGTGTGTGTGTGTGTGTATATATGTATATACACGCACACACACAATAACAATAAACAATAACAATAAGCCCTAAACGACTCCGGCCAAATTTACCTGTCCGAACGTATCCTCCCCTCCGCCCCCCCCCCACGAAAACACACACAATCTATCCAACAGCCCAATTTACCTGTCCGAACGTATCCTCCCCTATGAATCATCAAGATTGCTAAGATCGTCTGGAGGGGCCCTGCTCTTGATCCCACCAGCCTCACAGGCGCGGCTGGTGGGGACGAGAGACAGGGCCTTCTCGGTGGTGGCCCCTCGACTCTGGAACTCCCTTCCACTGGAGATCAGAACTGCCCCTTCTATCTTAACATTCAGGAAACAGGTGAAAACTTGGCTTTGGGGATTGGCATTCGACGAATGAGCCATGATCCTGTGATATGGATGGATGACGACGAATAATGATTTTTGATGACGACTGACCACTGTAATTATATGATTGTATTTTGCTATTTTAATGTTTTAGTGTGATTTAGAATATGATGTTTTAATGACTGTCTGTAATATTGATGTTGGAAACCGGCCTGAGTCCCTCGAACGGAGGTGAGAAGACCGGTATACAAAACTGCTAAATAATAAATAAATAAATAAATAAATAACAATAATAATAATAATTTTATTTTTATACCCCGCCAGTCATTTCCTCTAGGGTACTCGGGGCAGCTTACAAGGGACAAGCCCAAAAATTACAATTAAAACACACAAGTAAAACACTTACAAAGTAAAAACATCAGTTAAAACTATACAACACATGCACACCTACTTGTAACGCACAAAGGACTGGTAATAGGAAAGGAGATTATGCAGACTAGAAGGGGACAGGAGATTATCCCATATATGAACTGTGCATGTATAGTGTTCTGTTGATTCGAGTCCTTTAGTGGACTCTAAATGAGGAAAGGATGATCCACAGATATAAAATCAGATGGACCTTACTTAGGATATTAGATATTTTACTAACATTTAACACTGTCGGGATCCTATTATTAGAAGCTGCCATGTTTTATACACTTATGTTGCGATATCATATTGTTACATCATGCTTAGCTTGCTACCAAGTGTTCTTTTATTCACCAATAGTTGTACTGTTGTGCACCTTTAACAAAGGTATAAATAGCTAATGGGAATGTGAGTATATTTGAGACGCTGCTTGTTAAAGCTAATGGCTAATAGACACTGATACAGTATATCACATTTACAAGACATCTGCTGCTAATGACCAGGATGAGTTACAGATTTGTTTTGAAAGCTAGCCAAGGTCTAGTATTTGGAGGTATTTTAATTCTCGGTGCCCCACAAGGACCACAAGGAGAGGTGAGTTCTTGTTGTTGTCATCATTACTATTTGATACATAACAAGATTAGTACACAGCAAACAAGATCACTATGCTGGCTTTTGTATTTGGTCACATGTTGGACACTTCCCAAGTGTCTAGGACTGTGTGATTTATTGATGAATAATGTGTGCATTTCTGAGTAGGGAGGCCTTTTGCAGCTGACAGATGGTAATTTTGTCAGTGCAGATTGTTTTTAAGTGCAGGCCAAGGTCTTTAAGCACTGCACCCAGTGTGCTGATCACCACTGGGACCACCTTTACTGACTTGTGCCAGAGTTGTTGTTGTTGTTATTAGACTGTGAAGAGTAATGGACACGGAAAATAAAGACAATCCTTCATTTCATCTATACAACCTATAGATCTTGTAACTTTTCAGAAGCTGTAATAATAATAATTCATTTATTACCCTCCTCTCCTTACAGCTTGAGGCAGGTACAACCTGATTAAAACAGCGGAGTGAAACAAAGCAATATTAAAATTCATCTAACAAATACACACAGCTTAAAATTGACCAATAAAATGCAGGTTAATATTCACAAGTTAAAATTTGACTGGGGAAGGTGCGACAATAACTTATTGAGGTAGTGGGCTGCTTTTTGGGATAACAAAGGCCTGCAGCTGACAAACATACTTCAAATGAAAAGAGGAACATGGCCTCTCACCTCCAGGACCTCCTGCCCCATATGGTCCAGGTTGAGGGGCGCCGTATGGGTTTGCAGAGGGCTGTCCGTAGGGTCCTCCTGGGGCTGTGCCTCCTCCATACATGCCGCCAGGAGGGCCAGAGGGAGGTTGGCCATAAGGTCCCCCACCAGCTGGTGACCCATAGGGAGCTCCGGGGGCCGAGCCACCATAAGGCCCCCCAGGAGGCCCCCCACCTCCATACTGGACTCCATGATAACCCCCTTGTGGAGCCCCCGGGGCTTGTCCTGGTGATCCAGGAAAACCCTAAAGAAGACAAAAAGAGCTATGAATGCATGGACAGGACAACAGCACTATCAACATAACTTTGAATATCTAGATTTCATTGGTGAGTGTAGACCAAGGATTAGGAATAGAATGCATGGCTTGTATGTTTGGAAGACCCAGAGTAATCCTTGACCAGCTTCTCACTTATGAAAAATACTGGGTTACAATGTACAGTGGGAGCACTAATTGTGGCATGCACTATCTGTGAAGTACAGTGGCTTGTTGGTTTGCATGCATGTCGTTGTGGTTATTATATTACAATTATTGTTGTTGAATACACTATTAGAGTAATTCTTCAACTGTAAGACGGCATCAATTGTAAAGCATACCATAATTTCAATACCAACACAAATACATGATATACACCTGTAATATGAAGACATACTCCATTTTTAGAGTTGTTTATTTAAGGGAAAATAGTATGTCTCAGAATGGAAGAAATACAGTTCTTCCATGTTATGATTTTAGGCCTAGCCCATCTCATAGGGATGTGGTGAAGGTGAAAGCAGTGTGCTGGTTGTGTCATACTCACACTCAGGGTTCATCTATACTGTAAATTAATGCAGTTTGACACTACTTTAACTGTCATGGTTCGATGCTATGGATTCATGGGGTTTGTAGCTTAGTCAAGCACCAGCCCTCTTAGGCAGAGAAGGCTAAAAAAAGTCATGAAATTACAACTCCATAGCATTGAGTCATAGCAGTTAAAATGGTGTCAAACTACATCAATTCTACAATGTAGATGCACTTTTGATCTAATCTTACAGGGTTGTTGTGAAGTTGCAAGTGGCATTTTGTTGGAGACAAAGAAGCAGTGTGACTTCCATAGGTACATATACTAAAGTCAACAGCACACACAAAGCTTTTGACCTCAGAAGCAGAGTGGAAAGAATCAACATTGTGAATGTGGCAGAAACTACTGGAAAAAACCTAATGCATATGGTTACCATTGTGTTCCCAAAGCCAAGAGAACCACAGTTGTTGACTGGTTTAACAGGTAGGACCAGTGGCAGCATCATTGCCCAAATATCCTAGAGCCTTCCTCTATGACATAAATAAGTTCCCCCAAACACCTTTGATCAGAAAAGTTTACTGTAGACAATTGCTGAAGGGTAAATGCTAGAAAGGAGACAGGGTAATCTAATCCAAGCTCCTATCCCAGGGGTTCTTAACCTGGAGGTTTTTTTTGCAGTTAAATCTGAGTTAATACCAAAAATTGTTCAATTTGAGAGGGATGTTGTTGTTGTTGTTGTTACTGTTGTGGTTATTGCAACATTCACACTTGCCTCAAACAGACAAAAGTTCTTTTTCTCACCCTGGACTTCATTCCATAGATATAAAAACCCCACTTGCCTAGTTTCCAACAGACCTCACAAACTCTAAGGATGCCTGCCATAGATGTGGGAAAAAGGACAGGAGAGAACGCTTCTGGAACATGCCAACTGCCACTCTGGGCCAGAGTGAAGAGAGAGGGGTCTAGGGGACAGTTCCATCTTGTCTCCTGCATATGTCATCAGTTGGGGAAACCTCCCCCCAGCACCAACTGCGGCTCTGGGACAGAGTGAAGAGAGAGGGGGCCACCTTGTCTCCTGTGCTATGTGAATAATATAACATAACATAATATAATATAATGCAATATATATACATATAATATTTATAATATAATGGAATGCAATATAATACTACTAATAATATATTAGAATTATATATTTATATTACATGTAATATTACTAATATTACAATATGATATAATACAATACAGTAATATTTAATACTGATATTGTACTATGCTAATAATATAATATATTGCATGTATATATTTTGTAAGATGCTCTGAGTCCCCTTTGGGGTGAGAAGGACGGCATATAAATGTCGTAAATGAATAAATAAAAATAAAACAAACATGCCCATACAGCCCGAAAAACTCACAGTAACGCAGCATTTCTCAACCTGGGGGTCGGGACCCCTGAGGGGGTTGCGAGGGGGTGTCAGAGGGGTCACCAAAGACCATCAGACAATGCAGTATTTTCTGTTGGTCATGGGGATTCTTTGCGAAGTTTGGCCCAATTCTGTTGTTGGCGGGTTTCAGAATGTAATTTGATTGTAGGTGAACTATACACCCCAGGAACTACAACATCCAAATGTCAAGATCTATTTTACCAAACTCCACCAGCGTTCACATTTGGGCATATTTGGGATTCGTGCCAAGTTTGGTCTAGATCCATCATTGTTTGAGTCCACAGTGTTCTCTGGTTATAGATGTAGTGTTTGTTATTGTTCATTCGTTCAGTCGTCTCCGACTCTTTGTGACCTCATAGACCAGCCCACGCCAGAGCTCCCTGTTGGCCGTCACCATCCTCAGCTCCTTCAAGGTCAGTCCAGTCACTTCAAGGATGCCATCCATCCATTTTGCCCTTGGTCGGCCCCTCTTCCTTTTGCCTTCCACTTTCCCCAGCATAATTGTCTTCTCTAGGCTTTGCTGTCTCCTCATGATGTGGCCAAAGTACTTCATCTTGGCCTCTAATATCCTTCCCTCCAATGAGCAGTCGGGCTTTATTTCCTGGAGGATGGACTGGTTGGATCTTCTCGCAGTCCAAGGCACTCTCAGAACTTTCCTCCAGCACCACAGTTCAAAAGCATCTCTCTTCCTTCGCTCAGCCTTCCCTAAGGTCCAGCTCTCACATCCGCTCTCTACAGGGAATATCATGGCTTTGACTAGGCGAATCTTCGTTGCCAGTGTGATGTCTCTGCTCTTCACTATTTTATCGAGATTGGACATTGCTCTCCTCCCAAGAAGGAAGCGTCTTCTGATTTCCTGGCCACAGTCTGCATCTGCAGTGATCTTTGCACCTACACTACACTACACTACACTACAACTAAAAAAACTCAAGATCAATGCCCACCAAACCCTTCCAGTATTTTCTGTTGGACGCGGGAGTTCTGTGTGCCAAGTTTGGCTCAATTCCATCGTTGGTAATGTTCAGAATGCTCTTTGATTGTAGGTGAACTATATATCCCAGCAGTATGACAAAATCAATCCCCTCCACACCTCCACCAGTATTCAAATGTGGGTGTATTGGGTATTTGTGCCAAATTTGGCCCAGTGAGTGGAAATACATCCTGCATATCAGATATTTCTATCATGATTCAGAACAATAGCAAAATTATAGTTATGAAGTAGCAACACAAATAATTTTATGGTTTAGAGTCAACACAACATGAGGAAGGTTGAGAACCACTGCAGTAACTCAAACTCCTTTTCCTTTGTCCTGATGCAAACTTTCCCAGTCTAAGCATGACGTCACTCCACACCCCATTCCCGGATATGACGTTGTTTCCTACTCTATTTGATGTCACTTCAAGCTCAAAACTCTCTTCTTGTTTGGAGGCGGCCTCCCTTTTCCCAGCCCTGGACCCTCACTTCCTGAAACCCCTCCACTTCCTCTCTTCACCCCCAAACCGGTGTTGTCTCCAGGGCAACGCCCTCACCAGGAACTCCATCCCCATGGCAACAAGGGGAGCCTCCCACCCAACTTCCGTTGGCCAGAGCAGTTTCTAGCCCCCCCCCCCCTCTCATTTGGTGGCTTACCTGTCCATACGGGTAACCGGCTGCCATGGAACCTGACGCTTCGAAATAGGGCCCCTCACTCACTCTTCCCCGTTCTTCTTAGCCACGCCCAGCCCTTCCTTTCGGCTATTCCCATTGGCCACTTCTCCTCCTCCTCCTTGCTCATCTACATAACTCCGCCCGCTCCTCCCTGGGAGTCTTCTGATTGGTCGCAGCCTCCCATCGCCGACGCCTCGCTTCTTTACGGCTCCGCCCACCTCTCCCAGCGGCTCTTCCTATTGACTGCAGCCTCTCGTCCTCATTATCTTCTTCTTCTCCTTATTTCGCCGCGCCCACTTTGCAGCATTCGCCACGCCTACCCGTTCTTCTGATTGGTCGCAGCCTCTTCCAGACGCTGTCAGTCTTCATAGAAGGAGAGGCGGGACTTCCTCTTTTCTCACACCTCCCTCTTTTTTTTTCCAAAAATGGAGTGAGCAAAGTGTGGGTGAAACTTTGCTCACTCCATCTGCGAACCCCACCTCCTCCAAGATGAACTGAACCACCTCAACTGGGCTCTCCAGGCCAATGGATACTCCACCTCAGACATCAGAAGAGCTGCAAGACCAAGAACAAGCCACGAGAGTCAAGATGAAGATCCACCCAGAGGAAAAGTGTTGCCATACATCAAGGGAACCACTGACCGCATAGGGAAGCTGATGAGGAAACACAACATACAAACTATCTACAGACCCACCAAGAAAATCCAACAAATGCTACGTTCAGCAAAGGACAAGAGGGATCCTCTCACCTCTGCAGGAGTCTACCGGATACCATGCAGCTGTGGACAAGTCTACATAGGGACCACCAAACGCAGCAGCATTGCCCAAACACGAATCAAGGAACATGAAAGGCACTGCAGACTACTTCAACCAGAGAAGTCAGCCATAGCAGAGCACCTGATGAACCAGCCTGGACACAGCATTTTATTTGAGAACACAAAAATGCTGGACCACTCTCACAACCACCATGTCAGACTACACAGAGAAGCCATTGAAATCCACAAGCATGTGGACAATTTCAACAGAAAGGAAGAAACCATGAAAATGAACAAAATCTGGCTACCAGTATTAAAAATTCTAAAATTAAAACAGCAGAGAGAAAAACAGGCAGGGACATCTAATCACCTTTCAAGAAGAGTTTGCTCCAGGCACTGCCAGCCCATTGTATGCTAATCAAGGTGGTCAGTTGAAAGATTCACACCTAGCCCAACTTACAAAAGCCCTTTGTCTCACCCTGGTCATTCCACAGATATATAAACCCCTTTTTCCCATTTCCAGCAGACCTCACCTCTGAGGATGCTTGCCATAGATGCAGGCGAAACGTCAGGAGAAATGCCTCTAGAACATGGCCATATAGCCTGAAAAAACCCACAAGAACTGTGTGGGTGAAACTTTTTGTAACTTGTCTTTTAAAAGGAAATGAAAGTAGTTCTTGGGAAAGTTACTCTGCTGGACTACAGCTCCCATCATCTTCAATTGTAGCAGTTTGCAACTCTCAACAGCCATTTGATAATGAATGGGGATGATGGCAGGGTTTGTCATTAAAATAGGAAGGACTACAACTCCCATCAGTCCTACCCAGCTTAGCCCATGGCTGAGGATGCTGGGAGTTAATATTAATATTAATAATAATAATAATAATAATAATAATAATAATAATAATGTTTATTGTCGAAGGCTTTCATGGCCGGAATCACTCGGTTGTTGTAGGTTTTTTCGGGCTATATGGCCATGTTCTAGAGGCATTCTCTCCTGACGTTTCGCCTGCATCTATGGCAAGCATCCTCAGAGGTAGTGAGGTCTGTTGGAACTAGGAAAAGGGGTTTATATATCTGTGGAATGACCAGGGTGGGACAAAGGACTCTTGTCTGTTGGAGCTAGGTGTGAATGTTTCAACTGACCACCTTGATTAGCATACAATGGGCTGACTGTGCCTGGAGCAAACTTTTGTTGAGAGGTAATTAGATGTCCCTGCCTGCTTCCTCTCTGCTGTTGTGCTGTTGCAATTTTCGAGTTTTTTTTAATACTGGTAGCCAGATTTTGTTCATTTTCATGGTTTCCTCCTTTCTGTTGAAATTGTCCACATGCTTGTGGATTTCAATGGCTTCTCTGTGTAGTCTGACATGGTGGGTGGTGGAGTGGTCCAGCATTTCTGTGTTCTCAAATAATATGCTGTGTCCAGGTTGGTTCATCAGGTGCTCTGCTATGGCTGACTTCTCTGGTTGAAGTAGTCTGCAGTGCCTTTCATGTTCCTTGATTCGTGTTTGGGCAATGCTGCGTTTGGTGGTCCCTATGTAGACTTGTCCACAGCTGCATGGTACACGGTAGACTCCTGTAGAAGTGAGAGGATCCCTCTTGTCCTTTGCTGAACATTTCTTGGATTTTCTTGGTGGGTCTGTAGGTGGTTTGTATGTTGTGTTTCCTCATCAGCTTCCCTATGCGGTCAGTGGTTCCCTTGATGTATGGCAAGAACACTTTTCCTCTGGGTGGATCTTCGTCTTTATTCTCGTGGCTTGTTCTTGGTCTTGCAGCTCTTCTGATGTCTGAGGTGGAGTATAAAGTTTATTTATATCTCGCCACCATCTCCCCAAAGGGGACTCGGGGCAGCTAACATGAGGCCAAACCCGAAAATAATACAGCAAAGTAAAACACAAAATAACGGAAAAATTACATCACAACAAAATACATGAAGTAAAGAAATAAAATAGTGCAAAACAACATTATAAAAATCAAAGACAAAGGGAAGGCCAAATGTGCAAAATAAAATGTTAAAACGTTAAAACCCTGGATGAGATAGGAATAGAAAAAAGGTGTATTTATGAGGAAGGAGCCCAAGAAGGGGGAGCAATGGGGTATGGCCCTCATTAAGGACAGGGGAAAGTCCATCATGAGGACAACTATAGGTGGAAGCAAACAAAATAGGATAAATATTCACTCTCTGAAGGCACATCGGAAGAGCCAAGTTTTTAGATCTTTCTTAAAGGCTGCTAAGTGGGGGCTTGCCTAATCTCACCAGGTAGCGAGTTCCAAAGCCGGGGGGGGGGCAGGAGAAGGCTCTCTCCCTTGTTCCCACAAGTTGAGCCTGAGATATAGGAAGGGGCGAAAGGAGGGCCGCTTCAGAAGATCGAAGAGATCATGCAGGTTTATGGTAGGAGATGCAGTCACAAAGGTAGGTGGGTCCCAAACCGTTCAGGGCTTTATAGGTGATAACCTGCACCTTGAATTGGGACCGGAAGATGAACGGCAGCCAATGGAGCTCCTTGAACTGAGGAGTTGATTGCTCCCTGTAATTCGCCCCAGTAAGTAGTCTGGCTGCCGAACGTTGGACCAATTGGAGTTTCCGGGCTGTCTTCAAGGGAAGCCGTGCGTAAAGTGCATTGCAATAGTCCAGTAGTTCTCAACCTGAGGCCCCCAGATGTTTTGGGCCTACAACTCCCAGAAATCTCAGCCAGTTTACCAGCTGTAAGAGTTTCTGGGAGTTGAAGGCCAAAAACATCTGGGGACCCCAGGTTGAGAACCACTGCAATAGTCCATTCTAGAGGTAACTAAGGCATGGACCACTGTGGTCAACTCAGACTTCACAAGGTATGGTTGCAGCTGGCGCATGGGTTGCAGTCAGACCTACATCGCTGCTGGAAGAGGTTGCAATTTCTGTTTCCAATTCCATTTCAGATTTCAGTGTATAGCTAATTTTGTTCCTAAGAAACCCTTCATTGCAAGTCAGTAGGTATTTTGGACGACAACTCCCAGAATCCCTAGCTGGTCTCGCTAGTAATCAAGGATTCTGGGAACTAAAATCTAAAAACTTGGAAGACTAGAATTTGGGAAAGGCTCATTCTAAATCCAGTAAAAGTATGATAGCTGGGACTGAGTGTGGGTAGTGCTACGCTGATTCCGGAATGCTACTTCGGCAACGCTGATAGCGCAATCCAGCGGCAGAATACCACTGAACTCAGTTAATGCAGGCAGGACACAGATGCTTCCCTGTTTATTTCTCCCCCTTTCTGACCCACGTTCGGCTCATCTTCCGTTCCTACGAACTATCTTGCTGACTCTTTCCCGCCTGCATCTCATTCAGCCCGGTCTCACTCTGCCCACTCTCTCAACCACGTGGTCACACACATGTTCCTCATTCACAACCACCATTCCGGAATCAGCGTAGCACTGCCAGCACTTGGTCCCAGCTATTATACTTCTACCCTGAATCCTTCCAGTTAGGCCAATGGTGGTGGGTGATGGGAGCAATAACATCATGTGGAAACTTACTGATAGTGCATGGGGTGCAGACCCATAAATTGTTTTACTCAACTATTGAGTATGCCTGCCTCATCTGGCATAAATCTGCCCACGCAAAGCAGGTGCAAAAATATTTAAACACAAGACAATAATTAAAATGAAGAACAATTTTAACAAATATAAACTTACTAGTATTTCAATGGGAAGTGTCGGCCTGCTTTTGGCTGATGAAATAGCATTGTTGTTGTTGTGTGCTTTCAAGTCATTTCAGACTTAGGTTGACCCTGAGTGAGGGCCAGGTAAATGACCTTGGAGGGCCGTATTTGGCCCCCAGGCCATAGTTTGAGGACCCTTGCTCTAGCAGAATAAGAGGCTTGGCAAACATGAATTAATTATCTTTCTGAATGGGCAGCCAAATCCCTGATTATCTGAAACTTTCAACTTCATCTTTTGAATCTTGCGCCCTTTGTTTAACGTGGAACTGGGCACAAGTTAATCAGGGACTCATCAGCATATCCACATCACCACTTCCTTCAAGTTTGTGCCCTCTTAGGGGGTGTCTGCAACGGATTTGGTCTCCAAACGGTACAATCACCAGCTCTTTCTTCCCACCTCAGGAATCTCCTCCTGCAGGCTAAGATGTCAGGTGAACCTCAGGCCAAGCCCAGCACAGATCCTAGCCTGCCTCTCCTTTCAACCAAATGAGGGCAGGGAGCAGGAAGTCTGAGTAGCTGTTAGAACCACATAGAATGTCATGTATTTTTCTGTGAATTTATGCTTGTACCTTTTAAAGTGCCTTGCTTGTACTTGCATTCTATTAAAAATAAAGTTTGTTGTTGTTGTTGTTGTTCTTGTTGTTGTTATTATTATTATTATTATTATTATTATTATTATTATTGAAACACAACAAGATGAGTCCACAGCAGACACTCTGCTGGCTGTTGAATTGGATCAC